TCGGCGGACAAATGCCGCTCCGCGTCTCCCAGGTCTGCTGGGGTGGGGGGTGCTAGCTCCGCGTCTCCCTGGTCTGCTGGGGGGAAGTGTCCCCCGCGCCGCCGGAGGCAGCAACAGTGGGGGAGGCACCCCACACTAGCTGCGCCTGACCCCCCCCGTTTGTAACTAGGGGTCCGACTTAAATCAGACTGATGTAACCCGGGTACTGCCTGTATAGGATTATGCTAAAAATCTCCTTAATACATTTAAAGTAACTACTTAAAAATGGCCAAAACCAGACCTCCCTGTTTACCAACCAAGAGAGGTGTAAAAGTTAGTAGTGTCTCTGCATTATTTGAGGACATAACTAAATAATTTAAGCAGCGTGGTACTCTGACACCATTTTAGGAGTCAGAAGTAGTCAACTGTAACAAAGAAGACAATCTCAACCGAGGTCTTAAACATCTTTCAGTTCTACTTAAAAGATAAGACTTCTGATTAAAGTAACAGGAGAGTCACTGTTTAAAAATAACTTCAAGATTTCAAGCAGGCTTCTAGATCTAATCAAAGTAGTGTTTAGGAATGATAGCATATAGTCGTGTAAATGGTTAACCGATAAACCTGGGTTTATCAGTTAATCCTAACATCATGAACTCCCCTCCTTGCTACCTCTGCATCAGTTACTTTTAAGCAGGCTCCCCACAAGCATTGGATCTCATGGGAAGCCAGCTTTCAAGCCAGCTCTCCGTATGTACTGGCTCACATAGAGCTGTCTGCCCACTCCGCCTCTGCAGCAGACCCACGGGGCAAGGTAGGGTAGGGGATGCTGGTACAGCTCATCTAGGAGAATGGTGGTTAACCTGCAGCCTTGGGGCTGCATGTGGCCCTTTCAGACGCTCTGTGGCCCATGAGACATTTTGTTTACTGTTGCCCATGGACAGGGTGGCCAGATTCTGCCAGTTTTTGTTTGCACAGGTTTTTTTTAATCAGTCTTATAAAAGTGACATGAAGCGAGGGGCATGCTGATTGCACACAACACTGAGAACCACGTGCTCCCTCTTCGATCCAATCGAAGTGCTACTACAATTCAAACAGCACACCTGCAAATTCTAGGTATGCAAGCGCAATTAGCAAAACTACCCTATCCTGGTAGACCGTCTTGGTTATGATAATCTCGGGACTCAGAGATAAAGGATGGCCATTCACATGGCCCATTTACAGCCTAGATTGCCCCTCACTGATTTAGGAACTCTTAAGGGCAGCAGTTCTATATAATAAAGATGTTTCTAGACTGGTAAGAGTATTACCGATGCTACAATCCTTGAAATGAGATACACCTCACCTCGTCATACTGTTTTCTATTTGAATAACTTTTATGTGATTTATGATTTTTTGTAAATGTGTGAAAGTTACTTTTAACCAAATGTTGCCAACTTGCTGGTCAAGGTTAGGCTTCAATTAAGCTTATATTCTTATGTTTATTCTTGGACCAAGTATTAGTTGAAAAAAAAAAAAAATCAAACGCAAACTAAAGTGACCTATTTTCATTTTTTAAAGCATTCACTACTTTATCCTTAAGATTTCCAGAAAATTACCTCTATTCTCTTACTAACCCAAAAACTAAGCTCATTAACCAGAAAGATAGATCTTTCATATTATAATACAAAGCCACATCTTGTGATACTATTTTGTTTGACCACCATATTTAACAGTTTTCAACTTTCTATGTTTTTAATGCAACTTACTACTAGGGGTGGTTAAATAAAGATGTACACTGAATGAGTTTCATTAGTTCTACCAATATTTAATTACTGCTGTTAAACTCGTCATGTACAGGTTGAACCTCTCTAATCCAGAAATATCTGTCATCCAGAATTATTTTAGTTAGCTAGATGTCCACTTTTCATAGGTGTGGCCAAGTTTCCCATGGTCTCAAAGTTTGTTTATAGCCACCAATCCTACCTCTCAGTGTTCTGTGCTGTTATTTAGCTCTAATTTACCCCTAAACGTCCTCTAACTGACCCGTAAGAAGTGGAAATGTTGGTAATGCTGCTTGACAATATTGACCTCCCACAGACCAGAAAATTCTCTCATTCGGAACCCATCAGGTCCTGGACTAGAGAGTTTCAACCTGTAGTATGAAAGGGTATCAAATTTGATGAAAACCTGTAAAACGCAAATATTTACCTAGCGATACAGTAGAGTCTGGATTATCTGACCTTTGGTAATCCGACATTCCGCTTTATCCGACCCTGCAGCTCCCGGGGACAAAGCGGTGCTGGCAGGAGTGGCATCAGCAGCTCCACGGCGCAAGCTGGGAGAACGGCCCCGCTCACTGCCCCATCGCTCTCCTGGAGCCGCTGATGCCGCTCCTGCCGGCGCCGCTTCGTCCCCGGGAGCTGCGGGGTCGGATAAAGTGCGGGCCAGGAGAATGGCTCCACTTGCTGCCCCATCGCACTCCTGGAGCCGCTATGCCTGCAGCTCCGGGGCACGAAGCGGCACCAGCAGGAGCGGCATCAGGAGCTCCAGGACAGCGACGGGGCCATTCTCCCGGCCCGCGCAAGGGAGCTGCAGGGAGGGAAGGGGCCAGGGCCAGGCAGGGATGCGGCGCCGGCTACAGTAGAGTCCCTATCATCCGACATTTTCAGTAATCTGACCACCTGTCGGTCCCATTTAGGTCAGATAATCGGGACTCTACTGTAATAAGTAATTCTTTGCTTTCATTAAATATAAAAATGTACACACCCTTCTCATCTTGTTTCCACTTTCCCTTGTTTTCCCATCCCCAAACACACCTCATATTTGTATTTTAATTTCTTAGCATTAATGTACATCAGTTGATACTAAGGGTACATCTAAACAACAGGGCTTAACTTGAAATAAGCTACGCAAATTGAGCTACATCAATTGCATATCTTATTTCAAAATAGGGAGTGTTTATACAGCACTTACTTTGAAATAGAGCACTCTTCCTCTGACTTCCCTTACTGCTCATACAATGAGGGTTACAGGAGTCGGAGTAAGAACTCCTCCAGCTTGACAGTACTTTGAAATAGCTGCCTGCTGTGTAGACAGACTGAATTATTTTGGAATAGTGCTAGTCATTTCAAAATAGCTTTGTAGTGTAGATATACCCTAAGTCTACATCTATACTGCAGGCTTTTTGCGCAAGAACGATTGTTCTTGCGCAAAAACTTGAAGTCTTCACACTGCACGTGCGTTCTTGCGCAAGTAAATTTACAGTAAAGCGTTGGAAAAGGCGGTTTCTTGCACAAGAGTTATTCCTCTCCCCACGAGGAATAAGCCCTCTTGCGCAATAACTGTTTTGTGCAAGAGCTCTTGCACAAGAAGGCAGCATGGATGGGTAACACTGGGTTCTTGAGCAAAAAACCCCTATGACTAAAATGGCCATCAAAGCTTTCTTGCGCAAGAGTGTCCACACTGCCATGGATGCTCTTGTGCAAAAGCACATGGAAGTGTGGATGCACGCTTGTGCAAGAACTTTTTGAGCAAGAACTCTTGCGCAAAACAGTTCTTGCGCAAGAAGCCTGCAGTGTAGATGTAGCCTAAGAGATTAGCCTCTAAGAGGTATTAAACAGCTGAAGGTTAAAATTTCCAGAGGTGACTAATTACACTATATAAATCATCTCACTTTAAAACTTCAAAATAGTTGCCTCAAAAGGAAAGTGACATTTCAGGTGGTGTGACAAATGTACTAGATAATTTCATTTCAGATTACAGATGTAAATTAATAGAAGCAAAAACAGGCCCCAAAACTGGACTTTAAATATTATTGGAGAGCTTAAGTGAACTTTCAAAGAGACACAACAAACCACATTTACACTGAAGAAATACCATTATATTTTAAAAGTGTGTTGAAGTAGGAAAAAGTATGAACTGTGCAATTTCACTTAACTGTTCTCTTTTTAAGATATCAGTGCTCCAATTGCTATTTAGTTATTCCACTTATATCCTTCCTAGTTGTCCAAATTGAAAATATTTCTATGGTCCTTGATTATATTTTTCTTTGGCCACTTCATTTCTAGTCATCTAATCACTAGCATAAAGAAACTGTTTAATACTTTGAAACAATCTGCACATTTACCAAGTCTGTGGGTTCATCTTCTTCAACTTCAGCTTCATCATCTTCATCTTCAACTACTGTATCTTCCACTGCTTCTTCATCCTCTGTTGCATCTTGGGCTGCAACTAGTAAACTTGAACCTAGTAACAAAAACAAGAAGGAAATACCATACGTCACTTTTCATAGGTGTACTTGAGTTTTCCAAGACTTTCATTTACTAGCAGGAGATAAATAGCTTGACATTTTAATTCCAAAATACAGTAAAACTCCAATAGTCCGGCATCCGATAGTCCGGCATCAAAATGGCAGGAGCCTAGTGAGCGAGCTTCGGCAAAAAAAAAAAAAGAGTCACAAGGTAACAGCGGCGGCAGCAGCTGAACTGAGCAAAAAGGGTAAAAGGCTTAAAAAAACTAAAACATTACAGTATACTGTATACAGTATGTACAACAAAAAGAGTTAACACTTTATATACAGTATATAATGTATACATTATATATAACCTGCTTATAGAACCTCCTGATAGTCCGACATATCTGATAATCCGGCACCACCTAAATTCCATAGGTTCCGGATTATAAGAAATCTACTGTATTATGAAAAAGTTTTGGTCTAGATAAGTAGAAATCGCTATCTGTTCAGAGCCTTCAATTTCTATTAAGTTTTTAAAACCTACTAATTTACATACTCGCAGTTTCAAAACAAATTAAAGCTCTCTACACAGCTGTAGAGAAAAAAAGTTAATATAAGGTTTGTCAAGGTGTTTTACAATACTAGAAAGTAACCAAACTGCTTTATAGACACCTGATTTTACCATGAACGTCTCATTGTTCTATTATAACATTTGCTGTGACTAATATGAAAGTGTTCTCTAAGGGTATGTCTACACTACAGTGTTATTTCAAAATAACGCGTCTACACCCAAAATGCAGTTCGAAATACCATTCTGCTATTTCAAAATAGTGCGTCCACACTGAGTGGACTCTAAATTGCATTTAAGGCTGGCCAGAACCAGTTCCAGCAGGGCACCAGGTTAGGACTTCTTGTGTGGGGCTGCTGCCTGAGGCTATCTGAGGTCTGTGCTTAAAGGGACCCCCCCAAACAGCCGGTTCCCAGGTTTTCCTGCTTGCTTGTCTACCTCGATGAGGGACAGCAAAGCATTTGTGTGTCTGCGTGCTCTGGTTTCCCTCACATGGGACATCACAGCACTCTGCAACATGGAGCCAGAGCTGCCCCTGGGCACTCTGGTGCTTCTCTTGGACACATTCCTGTAAGCCTGGTTGCACTGTCTGCAGGCTGCCATCTGAGAGGGCCCATCGGGGTGCTGTCAGTATCCAGGAGGCCCTGCGAGAGAGCTTCCACTCTGAGGAGCACTAAGAGCCTCCCTGGTCTGCCCCACTGGGGGCTTGTGCCTCAATTCTCCCTCACATCCTTCCACTTACCCCTCCCTAACCCCCCTTCCTGATGTCAAATAAAATACATGTATTTTCATGAACACACACTCTTTATTTAACAAAATTGGGGGGGGGGGGGGGAGGTGTTGTC